TATACATACATATTTATATATTTATTTTATTAGAACTTATTAAATATAACAAATATATTTTAAAACTATATTAAATTAATATTTATTCACAAAATGCACAGTTTAATTATTATAGCATTTATTGTATTAGAATTTATTCATTATAACAATATCTTTTAAAAATAAAATAAGAAAAGTAATAATAGGGAACTGACTGATATAAAATGTTTTTTTTTTTTTTTCATTATTTCATATATTATTCACTCTCACAAACAGGGGACAGCAGGGAAGCCGGGACCCCGAGGACAGAGAGGACCTACGGTAAGACAACAAAGTTAGGACAAAAACAAACAATACGTACCCTTTTGTGATCAGTGTAGGACTTATTTCACTCACTGCTTTCTCATACTTCTTGTGATCTTTTCTATAGGGACCCCGTGGTGAAAGAGGGCCGAGGGGACCAACTGGGAAAGCAGGACCAAAGGTGAGGCTGTCCTTTTTCACCACTATTTTGTATTTGTGAAATTCTATAGTTAAATGAGATGATGCTGTATTGAGGCAAAGCCCTTTTCAGGGGTCTTCTGCCTTAGTAAATAAATAATGTAACATCCAAATGTAAAAACACAAAGAAAATCGGATCATGCATGCATTCAAGCATGCATAAAACAAGTGTTTGGCACATAAAAATGTAATTAGGAAAAGCACCCCACACCCAAGACTGACTGAAAGAAAACATCTCAGGCTTCAGGAGATTTTAAACCTCTTTCATCATTTGTGGTGCTCTGAAAGCTAAATGTGTTGACGGGCAAATGGTGCTCCTATTACATTTCAAAACGCAAGGTTTGTCTCCACGGCTCAGCTGGAACGAATTCAAATGCAACAGGGATTTTACCGATCTGCGTATCCTCTATCAGTCGAACAAATCTTTAATGGCACTCATTACCTCAGGCAATAAGCATAAGTTTTACGTTATCAATAATTAATCCCATTTGCATGGACATTTATACAAACATTCTGAAATATTAAAACGTTCTGTTTAATTTGCCTTTTCTCATTTGCTTCTCCTCCCCACCTTCACAGGGCAACTCAGGAAGCGACGGCCCCCCAGGACCACCCGGTGAACGGGTACAGTATAAATAGTAATTGAATCCTTCCAAAGTATCGATTATTGCTTCAGAGAGAGATTGAACGCTCGTTTTTTTTCCTGTTTTACAGGGTCCGTTAGGCGCAGCGGGACCTACTGGATTCCCCGGCCCTAAGGGTCCACCGGTAAGTGACGTTAACACTGTAGAAATAACTATAGAAATCCCTCTTTCATCCAATCATCTGTCCTGATTCTCTCCCTCTCTCTCGTTTTCAGGGTCCTCCCGGAAAGGACGGGCTGCCCGGACACCCTGGCCAGAGAGGAGAGACTGTGAGTGGCGTCTGATATGGACACGCACACTTTTATTCACACACTTGTGCTTAAAAAACTCACTTGTATTTTTTTCTGGCAGGGTTTCCAAGGTAAAACTGGACCTCCCGGACCCCCAGGTGTAGTCGGACCTCAGGTAAATGGAACACAGAATGCTGAAGTTAAAATTTTCACATTTTCAAAATGATTCTAGAATTACACACTAAATAGTGCCTCTAGTAAGATTCCAATAAAATGGGTTAGCAAAATGGACGAAAAACCTGAGGGTGAACCTCATGAATAATGTCATGAAATGTTTGGCCCATAAAAAAAATAAAAAAAATGTGTATATATATATATATATATATATACACACAGTATATACATATACATATACATATATATATACAGTGGGTACGGAAAGTATTCAGACCCCCTTAAATTTTTCACTCTTTGTTATATTGCAGCCATT